CTCGTACAAGTTTATTGCGCGGTATATATATATATATATATATATATATATATATATATATAAATGTTGAGTTGCATCGAACGAGACGTCACAGATTTGCTCAACACACAAGCGCGAACGGAGCACGCGGTGAACTTTTTCCCGCTCTCAGCAGCCGCGTAAGCAAAAAAACAGGAACGAATGAGCCGCGAAAGGCTATAGACACGCAACCGGCTCACATAAATATAAAAGAGCGGCTGTCAATTCGACCGAAAGAGCAAAAGAAAGCTTGTTTACACGGCCACGTGGCAGCAGGTGTTCTGTCTGATCCGCGGAGAGTTGCGGTTATGGCCTATAAGCTCGTTCGGCGATCCATCAATGAAGAAGAATGGATTAGGACATGCTCTCTCTCTGGCGGCCGAACAAGTACGCGTCATGCTCTTCTTGCTCGCCGTGATTTATTACTAAATCCTATACGGCACACAGGGAAGGCTGCTCCGCGGTCGATTTTATCTTTGACGAACGTATACGAATCGGCAAGTAGGACGAGGTTGCGGTTCCACAGACTTCAAGCGGAGACGCGTTAATTGAATGACTTCTAACAGTAGCCCGTCCTATTCGTCATAGCGCCGCGTGCACACACTTTAGTTTCCGTTTCGCGTGATATTGGTCCGTTCTCCTTTGTATACATGCATAGCGCGCGGTTACTCGTGTTGTTCAATCGTGTTGAAGGCGTTAGCCTGAAAAAAAAAAAAAAACCTGTTCAATGAGTCCTGCATCGAGCTTGCTCAGATTTCAGCAAGAAGTTACGTTCACTGCATGTACGTAATTTTTTTGTTGTCTTTTTCGTCGGCGCCGCAATATTTCAACTCGCAAAACTGGCATAGCAGTGTTGATGATATAACTGTCAGTTCAAGCGCACGAATAAACAGAAAGGAAGAGAGGACAAGCGCTTTCGCAACTAATCGGTTTATTAGAAAGGGCAGAATATATATACAGGCAATTAAAAAACAACGCATGCGTGTGCAGGCAAAAAAAGTACACACGTGGCACATCGAGAACACAGGTTAAAAGAAAACAGATTATCTCGGAACATAATCTAGAAAACCAAATTTTTATCGTGCAGCAAAACCGAAGGCTGGCTGACACATTGTTCCCCTCTTTTTCTTATGTGAAAAGCTTCTGTCAACTCACGAGTTTATTTTTAAATCGAAAACCACTTCAGTATTCTGAAAAAGAGGATAACAACCGCACTCTCTGCAATGTTTATTCGTGCGCTTGAACTGACAGTTATACCATGCATATCCAACTAGCCCAACTTTCGATAGTGTTGATGATGCCTCATGAGAACAGCGGAGCGACACAACTATGCAGTTACGCATGCAACGTCACCCATTAATAAGAGATTGGCATCAGAAGCCTTCGGGTCACTAATCTGTAGACTGGAATGATAAGGTGATTGATTTCATTGATATGTGGGGTTCAACGTCCCAAAACCACCGTATACGATTATGAGAGACGCCGTAGCGGAGGTCTCCGGAAATTTCGACCACCTGGGGTTCTTTAACGTGCACCCAAACCTGAGCACACACACGGGCCTCCAGCATTTTCGCCTCCATCGAAAATGCAGCCGCCGTAGCCGGGATACGATCCCGCGACCTGCGGGTTAGCAGCCGAGTACCTTAGCCACTAGGCCATCGCGGCGGGGCTGGAATGATAAGGTGCATTGAGAGCTTATCTTAAGATAACCTTATTTCGTACGTCCAAACCACCCAACCACAAACCTGGGCCATGCTCATGGTGTGAGCACGTTTGATTGATTGATTGATTGATTTGTGGGGTTTAGCGTCCTAAAACTACGATATGATTATGAGAGACGCCGTAGTGGAGGGCTCCGGAAATTTTGACCACCTGGGGTTCTTTAACGTGCACCCAAATCTGAGCACACGGCCCTACAACATTTCCGGCTCCATCGGAAATGCAGCCGCCACAGCCGGGATTTGATCCCACGACCTGCGGGTCAGCAGCCGAGTACCTTAGCCACTAGACCACCGTGGCGGGGCAGTGTGAGCACGTTTAAAATAGGACAGTCGTATTAGCACGAGAACAATCGTATGCGTCAGTAGCAAACAGTAAGCACGCGCGCAAGCACTATTGAAAGCTGCGCACCGACATATATATTTTTTCGAAACACAGGAAACGAGAACAGAAATATCATGATTACGCGGACTCGAGCTGAAATTCCAAGCTGTTCTCGATCAAAAAAAAAACTTGTCGGTTGCGCTTTACCTTGTCAACGGACAGCTGTAGAATGGTGTAGCGAGCACCGATCAATCAGGGGCAGCGAAAGAACAAAAACAGCGTTGTCACCTTCCGGTCGGAGCTCGCAGAGCGCGACGCACGAGCGAGCACCGGCCAACCTTCTTTTTCTGATCATTCCAAGCGTGAAGTCGGCTACGAAATCCGCAGGAAGAGCCGATTTGGGCGAACACGGGGAACGTCGGGCACCACCGCGTAAACACGTAAACAATGAACTTCCGGTACGAAATAAATTCGTTGGAGCATGCGTATAGTATTACGCATGGTTGACAAAACGGCGTCAGTTTCACGTCTCTGCATGCGCACCCCGAAGCATGCACCGTGAGCCGATGCAGTTGCATTACAGTAGGACGACGGACAGTGTGTGTGTGTGGGTGGGGGTGCACTGAGTGTGCGGGTCGGGAACGTGGGCACCTGACTATCCGTTAAAAAAAATAGCAGCAAGGGTCCGTATCGTTGCCGTAACGTGCGCACGTCGGGACAGGAGATTGCGGTTTCGGGGAAACCGACGCGGCGACATCGGCTACACGGACTGCCGCTCGCCGATATACGCACTCCTCCAAGGCAAGAAACGCCGCCCCTCAGTTTCCGCGGCGTTGTCGCCACGGACTAGACGTATACCGCATGCTAGCAGGCTTATTACATGCGCTCACGTTTCGACAGCTCCCGCTACCCGCTTCTCCGGCATTTCTTTCTTTCCCAATAGTCTTTAAAGCTGTAAGGGTACCCAGCTGACGGCCCGGACAAATGTCTTCATGAATGCCGCACCAGCCACCAGTCGCGAAGGCCGTGAGCAGTGCCCGGTGTTTCGACACGAGCTTCACGCAAGTCCCTTAAATGTCACACGATCCCTCACCTGAGACGACTTGAAGACGAAGGCCACCTGACCTTCTTTATCTTCGTGTCCACAACTTGGTTTTGCCCCTCCGGCATTGGTCCCCCCACCCCACCCCCTTCGAACAGGCAACGCCGGTATTGGTGCATTCAGACGACGGATCGAATCCCGATGTGGCGGGACGGACGGCGCGTCACGTGACCTCACATCAGCGATTCCCCTCGTCCGCGACTCGTCCGCGCGGCTCACGCACGGATGAACCCAACCTGTTTCTCACATCGGGATTCTGGCGGGGGAGAGCCGGTACTTCAGCGGAATAGCTTGGGGTCGGTGGCAACCAGTACACTTTTCGTCTGCTCGCGGCATGTCCTCCATGGCTCGCGGACAGCTGCATGACTTGTCGGCATCATCTACGCTTGAGCATTGTTTACTTAGTTTCCGGAGACTTTGTTCTCAGGGGATTAAATATGCAGAAATCACTTTTGGTGGTTCGAGAAATGTCGCCGCCGTCGCTTAACACGCGAGATTCTTAGCCGTCATGGTGGTGAAATATTCCAACTTCTGCAACCGGCGACGTGCCGCTTCTAAAAAAAAAAAAAGGCGGGAGACACGTTTAGAAGTTCTACAAGTGGGGAATAATGTAGTTGAAAGAATATCCTGCTAGCAACTCCCTTTTCTCCTGAAAGAATAACACTACTCGTTCATTTGTCACAACACGACAGACATCGCAGCCAAGCTTCGCTTCTTGCGGGCATCCATGTTGAATACTCTCAAACCGGTCTGCTGCCAGCGGGTGCAGGTGAGCGCCGAATCTGCTGTCGAGGGTAATCCGGCTGTTTTCCCCTAGGACACCGTCCGTCGTGTGGATGCGCCTGCAGGCGGACTATCCGCGGATTAGCTGTCCGCGTCCACGACAAATCCGGATTCGGTCCGTCGTCTGAATGCACCATATGCGACGAAGTCACCACGCGATGATGGATGGCACCACAAGATGGCGCCACACATTATACAACCTGTGACGTCACACTATGTGACCTGCGAGCCAGACATTGTGCTTTCTGAACAACGGTTCCTGAAGTTTTGCACCTGCCTTCCACGCTGTTACTTCCCGAAAGTTTGTTTCCAAAGGCGATGGGACACTTGCAAGGCGACCCGAGCTGAGATTACGCGATCTTCTCTGCCTGGTGAATCATCCGAAGCACACGTTATGTATATGAATATGCTATTGATGGTTCTATAAGTTTTTATATTTCTACAGTCTAGGGTGTTAACGAAAATTTGTGAATTGGTATACTGTATACATGTACGTGCCAATGCCTGTGTACTGTACCTCTGACTGCTCAACTTGGTTACTCTGCTTCTCATCCGAAACAGCTCGCCATGAGCCATCAACCAGGTTAGTTAATGTATCCGGCTTATCATTAGAATAACTCTCTCTTCGTGATAGGCGTATCTGCAACGACGCCAGCGAAGTACATGCAAACAGCACCATGTTCACAAAGCTGACAGCCATAGTTCAGATGATCTTCGACACTGTAAGACATTTCACAAAGAAATAAAATGGCGCCGTGGCAAACAAGCCATAAAAATAGAAAAAGAAACATCTAAATAAACAAAAGCACTAATTGGATTTAGCTTCTTTTCGTGTTGCTCCTCCGGTGTATTTTAAATTTTGAAAAAAACTTGAAATGCATCAATTTTTCGAGCGAACCACAAGTGACTTCAGACAAACTTGCGCACACTGAACGCAACTGTCTTCTTTTACCGCACGTTTTCCCTTGTGTTTAAGTAAGCGCACACATAAGCAGGAGGCCATGACAGCCAGAAAACTCCAAAACACCACGCTGAACAAATCTTTGAAGCTTACCTGTAATGTGACGCTGTCTTGGCCCACTTGGTCCCGTAGCTGCTGGATTGTGAGATCTGCACGAAATAATAAAAGAGAAATAATCAAACTCGAAGTCAAAACACGCTCGTCAGACTAAATTTGCACGAACAAGCGACGGAGACGATATGAATTAGCACACTGGTTTTCACCTCACGTCTTCACAGAAGTAGTGCATAATGCCAACGCCACACTGTTCTAACGTCAACGTATTTCGGAACAAGGATCGCCCCGAGATGCCACGAATAATACCACAGAAACCAAGTAACGTGTTATACAGTTATAAAAACGCTGCGGGTTACTATATTAGGCCTGTTACATTAACCGAGGGGCTCAAACACCGAAGCGTCGAGGGTTCGGCTGAAGTGAAAGCCGAAGCCTGCAGATCGTTTGATCGCAGCTGCACAGGATTGAGAGTTGATGCCGACCGCACCGAGAACAAAAGCGAGACAGAGCGAGACTCTTTATGTGAGGCCCCCCAAAACGACCATCAATTTCTATTCAAACAGGCCTGACGCCTCTATAATATAGGTTTTCGCCATATTTATACGGCTTTCCATCTCGCACTTTTTTTTTTTTACCCTTCTCGTTATTAGCGCCATAAACAAGCACACCACGCGCGTTCCAAACACGGCGCGGACCGTAGATCAGATTTCGAAGCCGAGCTCGAAGGAAATAAAAATAAACAAACAGCTCGTTCATAGCCCGTAATAACAGTCATTGTGGTTCACGTGCTCCACAGGTATGGTACGACATCACGCATATAGGGCCTCGTTCCGACAAGCAGAATAAGAAATACAAAACAAAAAAAAACAAGCACAAGCGACGCGGTGCCAGGTGAGAGGATTGACGGCAATGAGCGCTGCCGAGGAGGTGGGGGATACATAATTCCGGCCCGTTCACATTTCGGGGGCGCGTTATGGATTGCCGGCCGTTTGCACAGCGCCCCCAATTGGCATAGCGCTCGAGCCCTGGCATCCCCTCGCCAGCACGAGAAAGAGAGGAACACAATGTGTCGACGAGGCGACAAGCGTGCTGCACGTGGACACGACGACACGACTATAGTCTCTCTGTACGAACGTATACAACAACGACCGTGTTCATATATTCGGCACGGGGCGCATCTCGATAAAGTACGAGCAAGCGCGAACGCGCTGTCGGGAAGGAGATTACAAGGCAAAAGTTGAACACGTTGCGATAGAAAAAGAAAAACCATTACTCCTCGTACCTGAACGCCGGAACGACAAAAGAAACATGTTGATTAAAAAATTGGAAGCGATTCCGCTGCCGTGGCGTTTATGAGTCTACCCCGCACACCCCACGAACATTTCTCACCTGAAAACATTTACACCCGCCGCTGGGGCAATTGGGTGGAAAGGGGAGGAGGGAGCATTTGAGGACAATATTTACGAGTTTATTATTATTATTTTTTCATTTAGCGTACAGAGATCGCCCCGAACAGGTGCTGTTCAACACGGCTCGTGTGATCGTAAAAATCGGGAGCAGAAATAAAATTTCTTCTCCGCCACCATTTCGCGATGGTGGAAGGTAGATGGGGGGGGGGGGGGGGGCACTTTCGTTCTTTGTCCTCCGAGTTAGTAACATCCCTTGTCATTCCGCGCGACACGCAATATTCCCAGCAGCCCCCTCCTCATCGTATTTATGACCTCCTGTGCTCCTCCTCAGGTGGTCGAGAACGGCCTCGTCGAGAGAAAAAAGAAGGCATAACGTCACAGGACCGGTGACAAAAAACAGCCGCTCTTTGTGGCATCTTTTCGGTGTCGACTAGACGCCCTACCTTGCTGCGGACAACTGAGAGCTGGTAGAGCCGTTCAAAAGCCGCTAAAGCTTCCCACTAAGCTATTACGGGCGTTGACGCGTTGCCGTCAGCGCCTTCCAGTGGAAACGCGCGAGGAGCTGCGAGTTGTCGCACGACGCGCCTGGAGCCACCACCGCCGAATATGTTGGCCGCCAAAAGCCATTTACACGACAACGATTCCGGACCATACATACACATCACGTAAATCCTGCCCGCCTTTAACCTGCACCCCACATCGTTATTTCTCTCTCTCTTCTCTCTCTATGCCTGGTCTGATCGCTTTTCTTGTTTGCTACCGAGTGCGCGCACACTGTGAAGCAAAAGCGTTAACAGCCCTCTTAGCTGCGCAGACGACGAAAAGCAGAAACGTCGTCTGGTGGCGCGACAGAAAAGAAGTCGCAGTTGCGGCGCCTCCAATCGGGACCGCATCGAAGCCGGCGCAATGGGCGGCGGGGGGGGGGGGGGGGGGGGGGAAGTGACCTGCGCCACGCCATAAATTGGAGCGCGGCGATGCCCTTTAGCTGTGCATTCGCGCGGCGCAGTCTATAAGCGACAAGGAGGTAGTGGAGAGAGAGAGGAGGAGAGTGCGCGGCGGAGCTGTTTGGGGGTTACCTAACAGGCGCGTTTCCGACGCCTTGTGACGCGCCCGGGAGCGGAGGCGGTCACGCCCCAGTGACTGCTCGGGCGACCTTGGCTTCCGAGACGCACACGAACGCCAAAGCTTCGCACGCACACACACACACACGCGCCACGGAAGCACACGCTCCAAGAGACAGAAAAGCAGAAAAAAACATTGCTCCTTCTGTAGCACTCAGACGGAAGGTGACGGCGTTACGCATCCTTGAGATGGCAATTTCGTGTTCTGTTTCTCATATTTATATATTTCCTTTTTTATATATTTGCAAGCAGGGAAAGGAGGGGGGGGGGGGGGGCGCTTCTCCGCTTTCGTACATATTCAGTATTCTATTGCGCGAACATTTCGATACCGTACTCGTCGCAGCCATCGGGAAAAACCACCAGGCGAGCGATCTTTTTTTTGGCGAGTTCAGGAAATATGATATGCGTGTCGTCGGGCACCGCATATCACACACGTCTGCCTCGGCACTGTGGTTTTCCACGGACACGCGAAAGGCAAGATTGGCAACGCGTAAACAGCGGAGGGTTACTATGATTACGTTTACAAAGCTTCACACCAGTGATACGAAGAGGTGGTTAAACGGTTCCGTAACGAAGAGGAAGAGGATCCGTAACGTAAGAACCTGCACACGTTCTTTCCATTTTAGCCCCCCAAAATTGGCGAATATGCTTCACCCGCCGCAGTGGCATAGTGTTTATCGCATTCCTTTCTCAGCACACAGGTTCGGTTTCCAAGCCAGGCGGTGGAATTTCGATGAGAGGCGAAGTGCGCGTGCATAAATTATCGTAAAGGTTTAAAATCCCCAGTAGCTTAAACTAAACCATGGTGTCATAAGTATTTAGTGTCTTTGGCAAGTACAACCTCAACAATAAGTTTTACATTGATACATCTCGCTAACGGGGCTGACTGCAAACACCTAAGTAATACCAATAGCTGTTTAGGCTTGGCGTCCCAATACCATGATATAATTACGAAAGGCGACATAAGATAGACAGTTATGGGTGGCACTTCTCTCTCCTTTGCCTTTTCAAAACCACTTAGAAGGGGATCCAGAAATGTTGAACTACCTGTGTTTTTTAAAGCGCACATAAATGTAAATACACAGGCCTCTAGCACCAGGTCTTCGTACAAACGCAACCACCGGGGCAGGGATCGAACGGGGCGACCTTCAGGTCAGCGGGTAAGCATTACAACCACTGAACCACCACGGCGTGGTCTTTCCTTCACTTCGGTCTCCTTGGTACACATAGCTAGTACACGCTTTTGCATTATCAGTATTAGCAGGCTTTGGCTACAGCCTAGCGTGGTCTTTCCTTCACTTCGGTTTCCTTGGTACACATAGCTAGTACACGCTTTTGCATTATCATTGATTGATATTTGGGGTTTAACGCCCCAAAACCACCATGTGATTATGAGAGACGCCGTAGTGGAGGGCTTCGGAAATTTCGACCACCTGGTGTTCTTTAACGTGCACCCAAATCTGAGCACACGGGCCTACAACGTTTCCGCCTCCATCGGAAACGCAGCCGCCGCAGCCGGGATTCGAACCCGCGACCTGCGGGTCAGCAGTTTTGCATTATCAGTATTAGCTCCTTTGGCTACAGCCTCTTACTAGCCCGCAAAAGCCATTAGGTTATACGTAAGAAAAAAAAAAAACTTTTGGCTTGCATGCACCTCACTCATCCTGGGAACGATCCAGGGAACACAGAGCCACGGCCCAGACGCCGCGACACAGATTGCATGGAGGGTGGTGCAGCCAACGACAGTATAGTCGATCGTCGAGAGAAGCGATCCGACCGATGACACCCCGACAGCCGCGAAGGCCAGGGAAGGGTGCCAGCACGACGGTGGGAAGCGACACCCGAAATAACCGCAATCGGTGGCGGCAGCCTCTTCTGCGACGACTCACTCGCTCGCAAAGCGGCCGCAGAAGCTTACGCGCATCCGAGGTACCTAAACACAATTGGCGAACTCGGTGGGTGTCGAGGGACGCGCGAAATCGAAGACGCGAGACTTCCGGGCCGGGCGATGGTGTGCCACGAAAACCGCGGCGCAAGCGAACGGCAAAAAAAAAATGGGCAACTAATTAACGGCGCTCCGCACGCCGCACGTGGCTTGAGAGATGCCATAACAAGGATCTAAAAAAAGGATAACAAGGATGCGACGAGAAACACTTCTCGAAGAATGGAAACGGTGCAATCTAAATGCAAACAGAGACGCAGTTGCGTGCGAAAAAAAAAAAGGATAGTGAGGCGACGGTTTTGATTATTCAAAAGCACCTTCTGTATCGCCCTAAAAGGTGGCACTTATCCAGATCATTAAAGTTATTCGTACCGTACATTTTGCAATGCATCGTCTTTACATGACACGTGCATCGAATATTGAAGCTGAGTGAGATAAAACCGGGCCGAAAATGCCTTAGTGCGCAGAATTATCAAGTTAAGTTAGTTTACTTCAGAAGATAGAAATCACTGCAGCGAGGGGTGCTGACACACTATTGATAAAATCCGACGAAATACGCAAAAAAAAATGTTCATATGCACAACCTTTGAAACAATGAAGATAAGATGCCACTTGGAAAC